CAGGTAGCCAGTAAACAGCTAGAAATTTCGGGTTGGTGGGGCATGGGGGATTTTTGTGGGGCAGTAGGGGGAGGAGGGGGGAGGGGACACCCACACACCTTCCCTGAACTACAGGTGGTGAATAACAGCTAGAATTTTCGGGTGGGGGGGGCAGGGGGGTTTTTTGGGGGGCAGTGGGGGGAGGAGGGGGGAGGGGACACCCACATACCTTCCCTGAACTACAGGTGGTGAAATCGGCGCTTGAAGTTCAGGGAAGGAGTGTAGCTGCTCCTCTCCCTCCCTTCCTGCAAGATTTAAAGGGCCCTCCAGCTGATTGGCAGGCCATGTGTTCCATCCAATCAGCTGCAGAGGCCTTTTAATGTCATGGGGGGAAGGAGAGAGGGGCAGCAGCTATTTGGGGGCATGCCTCACACTTGAGGGGGCAGAGCCCCAAAATGCCCCACTGTAGCGATGGGCCTGCCAGTAAGATCAACGGATAGAAACAAGTGAGCATGTAAATGCAAGAGTTAACAAAAAGAACGTGAACATGAAGCTAGAGTCCAGCAGCACCCCCAAAACAAACTAAGCTCAACCCTGTGTACGTGAGAGAACAGAGACTCAGCGTGTGCATACTTCTTCACATACATTAAAACAGATTTCCTCAAATATTGCATGCAGGTGGGGGGGTTAGTTGCCAGTCAAGAGGCATAAGTAACTGAGCAATAAACATAGCTAAGATTGGAATAAAACATATAGTAGGACATGTAAATAGCAGCAATTTGGCATATGGATAATAAAGGAGCTGACAACAGATGTGAGACCCAAGTTTGAGTCCAGTGGTCTCTATAAGACTAACAAAGTTTAATTTCTGGGTATTAGTAAGAACAGAATGATTTAGCATGTGTAGTGAGATAAGAAGCTGATGTCTCTGTTAAGCCCTGGGGGTTCCATTGTCCTCTGTATTGTAATAACTTGTAATTCAGCAATCTCCAATTCCAGTCTGTTTCTGAAATTCCTTTGCAATAAAACAGTTACTTTGATGTCACCTATTGAATGTCCTGGAAGGATGAAGTGTTGTCCTACAGGTTTCTCAGTCTTGTGATTCTTGATGTCAGATTTGTGTTCATTTATCCTTTGGCATAGGATTTGACCTGCTTGCCCTATGTAGAGATTTATCCTTTGGCATAGGGTTTGACCTGCTTGCCCTATGTTAGAAGGTGAGCAGGTGAATAAGCCTGAGATGGTGTAGTTGATGTCGTTAGGCCCAGTGATTGTGTTTTCTGGGTGTATGCAGCAGCAAAGTTGGCATCTGAGTTTGTTGCAAGCTTTGGTACCCGTGTCCATGTTTAAATTAGATGTTGTATTATTGTGGGTGAGGAGCTGTTTGAGCTTGGGGGGCTGCCTGAGTGCTAGAAAGGGTTTGCCTCCAATCCTTGTGAAAGAGAACTATCATTCTCCAGTAGAGGCTGTAAGTGGCTGCTGATGCACTGAACTGTTTTGAGTTGAGAGCTGTATGTGACCACTACTGGTGTTCGGTTATTGTCTCTTTTGGGCCTGTCTTGCAACAAGGTTTTCTCTGGGTATCCTTCTTGCTTTGTTAATCTGTTTCTTGACTTCATCAGGTGGATATTTTAGTTCCTAAAAGGTTTGTTGTAGATCCCTCATCATGAGGATCTCTGCTTGTGGGATTGGAGCAGATGCAGCTGTAGCGTAGAGCCTGGCTGTATACAATGGATCGTTTGGTATGTTTAGGATGGTGGTATGTCTCTTGGTCAGTAGGTTTCTGGTATAAGGTGGTGTCTATGCGTCCATTGTGTATTCTTACAGTAGTGTCCAGAAATTGTATTCCTTGCATAGATTGGTTCATTGACATGATAGACAGCCGCTGATTTTAAGAAGAATCCATTTGTAACCTTCAGCACCATGGACAGTGCTCATTAGACAAGTCATAGTAATCATCAGCAAGGATTTAAGCTATAGAATCCACTGCCAGTGGAGGCAGCGATGACCACAGGGACGGCGAGCTTTAAAGGGGGGGTTGGCAAATTCATGGAGGAGAGGTCTTCTTTAACTAGGTGCAAAAGCCTTCTATATTATGCTGGCTTAAGAGTTCTCCATGAACACTGTCTGAATATTTATAGTAGTAGCAAACCAATCCTCTTTTCTACCCGGCTGGAAGCCTTCGAGAAGACAAGACTGGCTTGCTCCTTTACAAACACTTGAAATGGAACCAGAAGTAAGTTTTTTTAATTAGATAATTAAATTATAAATTAATATGAAAAATTTAAATAATACTCCATTCAGCTTCGTGTTGCTTTTCATTTAAAATACCATAAGTTATTTTCCAGGATTATTTGAAGAACATAAAGAAGAAGTTAAGAATATATTTCCAGAGCAATGCAACAAGGAAAATACATACATAATAACGTATATTTTTACAGTGGCAAGAATAATGTTAGCAGAATGTTGGAAATCAGATGTATTAACCTCGGGAGAGGAACTAATAGAAAAACTGTTAATGTTGGCAGAAATTGATAGATTAAGTTTAATATTACAAGGAAAAGACCAGGAGGCATATGAGAAAAGATGGGGAAAACTATGTGTATGGTTGAATAATATCATGTGAAATAATGACTCACAAAAATATAAATGTATACATGTTAAAGGCTATATATAACGTGAACAAATTATAAATAAACGGGGGGAGAAGAAGTTAATAGAACACATGACCACGGAAACGTCTTCGGACAGCGCTGGCTCTTTGGCTTTGAAACGGAGATGAGCACCACAACCCTAGAGTCAGATTCGACTGGCTTTCGAGCAAGGGAACCTTTACCTTTACCTTTAATAGAACATTGAGTTGTAGCAAGAGGCTGACACCGTTCAATACGATTACTCCTGAGGAAGACTGGGACGAAATGAGTTTGTATCCGGGTGCTCATTGTGAATGATGGACTTGTAATATTGCAAAGTTTTATGTATAGTATAATATGATTCTTACTAAATGTCTTAGTCATTTATATCACAGCATCCAGGGAAGGCCAGATGGACCACTGGTCTGATCCAGCATGCTCAACTTATGTTCTAATTTTCTTTTCTGATCCACAAACATGAGCCAGTTTGGTGTAGTTTGTAGTTTTCCTTCTCTTATGTTCTTATGAGAGGTGCTAACCCCGAACAGAAGTTTGAAAGTTGAAAAAGCAAAGATGAGAAGTTTAAACCCTCATCTACTGGAAAACTCACCCCAGGCCTGCTGTTTTGTGTACTGAGTAGCATCGTATAGTGGTTGGAAAATGTTCAGCTCAGATCTGGAAGACATGGGTTCAGATTCCAGCTCTGCCATGAAGCTCTGAGTGACCTTAGGCCTGTCATAGCTTGAACTACCTCAAAATAGTGTTGTAACAATTCAGTGTGAAAAGGAGAGTAACATGCTGCCCTGAGCTCCTTGGAGAAAGAGAGGGAGAGAGATGGACAGATGGATAGACAGACAGAAAAGAGCAAGAGTCCAGAAGCTTGTTAAAGACTAACAAAATTTGTAACAGAGTATGAGCTTCTTCAGATACAGCAAGAATGTGAGTCCATCTGTCATTATATCTTGGAGAGTGGAGTGATTTCAGATGCCGGATGACAATAGCAGGTGAATGACAATAGCAGGTGTGATTGGATTATGTGCAATATGCAAAGGGCCAGTAGGAGTTGATAAATCAGCATGGGAAATGAGACTGGAAACCTAGGTCTCAGTTCCTAAATAATCTTTACCCAGCAATAACTCAGCAAAAGCTTACTTCAGCCTAAATAATATTTTTATCATCCTAAAATACCGCCAATATCATTTTAATATGCACGTAATTTTGAAAGCTACCAAAAAAGATAAAGTAAAAAGAGCTTAAAAACATTCTTGTCTTGAATGCTGTGGTTTCTGATGTCAAACTTATGTCCATTAATTCTTTGTCGAAGGGATTGACCTAATGTAGAGGGTGGAAGTGCATTGCTAACACGTGATGGCATAATCACATTAAGGGTGAGCGGGAGTATGAACCTGAGATAGTATGGCTGATGTTGCTGGGTCCAGTGATGGCGTTGCCAGGAGCTATTATATGAGAGCAAAGTTGGCATCCTACCTACTTCACAGAGTGTCTGTTGTGGGGAGAGGAAGGGAAGGAGACTGTAAGCTGTTCTTGGACTCCAAGTGAAGGGCGGGAATAAATCCAATCTCCTCCGCCAGTTTGGTGTAGTGGTTAAGTGTGCGGACTCTGATCTGGGAGAACCGGGTTTGATTCCCCACTCCTCCACTTGCACCTGCTGATGTGACCTTGGGTCAGTCACAAGCTCTGGCACAGCTGTTCCTGAAAGAGCAGGTTGTGTCAGAGTTCTCTCAGCCCCACCCACCTCACAGGGTGTCTGTTGTGGGGAGGGGAAGGGAAAGGAGTTTGTAAGCCGCTCTGAGACTCCAAGTGAAGGGTGGGGTATAAATCCAATCTCTTCTCTTCTTCTCCTCCTCCTCCTTCTCCTCCTCTTCTTCTTCTTCTTCTTCAGCATGTTCTTGCTTTTGAGCATATGTGGCCTATAAACGTGATTGATTAGCCGAGAACCCGTTTCCTATTATTGTTTCTGCTTTGCCTTAAATAGCTAGACATCAGATGTCTCTTCAGCTCAGAACTCTACTGTAGCAAAGATGCCAAACAGCTAGACAAGCCAGCTGTTACAATGATCACAGAATGCTCCTGCTTAACGTAATTCATGACCCAAATCATTGTTTGGTCTGGGGAGGGGGGGGGTCCTATCCAACAAGAGCATAGATCACTAGAGAGTTTGAACTGCATTTTTATCCATTGCAGGGGCTGTCGTGATCGCCTTTGTGGTCTGCTGGCTCCCCTATCACGTGCGGCGACTTATGTATTGTTACGTGCCAGAGGATCAGTGGACGGAGTGAGTAACTTCATTTTTTTTTAACATTAACAACAAAATGTTTTCTGCATCAAATCGAGCCTGAACTCTCCCTAGAAGCTAAAACGACTGGACTGGAGCTATTGTGCTTTGGGCCCTGACCTAGATAGCCCAGGCTAGGCCAATCTCATCTGATCTTGGAAGCTAAGCAGGATCGGACCTGGCTAGTATTTGGGTGGGAGACCACCAAGGAATACCAGGGCCATGATGCAGAGGCAGGCAAGGGCAAGCCAGCTCTTGAAAACCCTACAGGGTTGCCATAAGTCAGCTACGGCTGAATGGCAGCGACGACAACAAACTGTACTTTGGTCACACTGTGAGAGGACAAGAGTCACTGGAAACGACAACAGTGGTGGGGAGGGGAAGGGAAAGGAGTTTGTAAGCCGCTCTGAGACACCTTTGGGTAGTGAAGGGCGGGGTAGAAATCCAATCTCCTCTCCTCTTGACTGATTGATCTTAAATTGGAAAGATAAAATACAATTTCTAAGATTTTTCATCAAAGTGCTTCCAAAAAAAAATTATTGTCTCACACCACCCATATCTGAGAGATTCAAGGGTTTTAGGTGTCGCTACCTGATATATACTCAGTTACTTGAACCTCACGTGACTGTATTAAAACCATGTAATTCATTTCCTCTGAAGGTGTGAGGTAAGATGGCTCTGAGTTTAGAAATGACTTTCCTATTGAAATTCTTGTTTCAAAACTGTGACCCGTTTGCTCTTAGTTTAGTTCTTGGAATGAAGCCATTTATTCATATTTCTCCTCCACAAAGATGGAATAGAAACAGCCATGCGGACACAACTGGAAACAGAGCAGGGGTCATTGAGGGGAGTGGGGGGGAATAGCTGTGAATTTCCTGCATTCTGCAGGGGGGTGGACTAGAAGAAGAAGAAGAAGAAGAAGAAGAAGAAGAAGAAGAAGAAGAGGAAGAGGAAGAGGAAGAGGAAGAGGAAGAGGAAGAGGAAGAGGAAGAGGAAGAGGAAGAGGAAGAGGAAGAGGAAGAGGAAGAGGAAGAGGAAGAGGAAGAGGAAGAGGAAGAGGAAGAGGAAGAGGAAGAGGAAGAGGAAGAGGAAGAGGAAGAGGAAGAGGAAGAGGAAGAGGAAGAGGAAGAGGAAGAGGAAGAGGAAGAGGAAGAGGAAGAGGAAGAGGACCAGGTCATCCAGCAGCTGCAAGTGGAGGAGTGGTGAATCAACCCTGGTTCTCCCAGATTTGAGTCCGCGCACTTAACCACTACACCAGACTGGCCCTTTGGGTCCCTTCCAGCTCTGTTTCTATGTGTCTAAACGTTTACAGAAATCGTCAGGCTTGCTTTGTGTAATAAACTGCACCATTAGCAGTCAGGGTACATTTACTTGTTATTTATTTGTTTGTTTATTTATTTAAAACATTTATCAGCTTCCTCTCTCCTTATGGAACTCAAGGTGGCCCACAATTATCAATAAAAATACATAACGCAGAGTATATAAGAATACATAAACCCAAAATTTAAAATCACAATGTAGGACTGTTTTCATCAAATGCAGTCCTAAACAAAACCATCTTCAGCTGCCTCCTAAGGACCGGGGGCAGGTGCACCTCTCCAAGGAGGGATAGTTCCATAATCCTGGGACCACCACTGATAAGACTCTCTCTCATGTACCCACCGAACAAGGTTCTTTGATTGATGGGACAGTCAGGATCTCAGTTCCCAGGCAGGAACATATAGGAGAATACAAAGCCTTTTAGGGCTTCAAAGGTCAAAACCAACACCTTGAATTGGGCTTGAGAGTGGATCAGTAGCCAGTGTAATTGTTGTAATAGCAGGGTCACATACTCCTGACAGCTGGCCCCAACCAACAATCTAGCCTCATGACAGTCAGGGCCGGCTCGTCAATGACAAAATTTAGGCAGCTGCCTATGGGCACCGGCTTGACGAGGGCGCCGCTCTGGCCTGCCTGCCGCCCTGCCTTCCCCTCCCACAAAAGCCAGCCGAGCCAGAGCTAGGTGCGAACATCAGGCTGCTATTCCTATGGTGCAGCAGCGGGTCTTCCGGCGAGGGAGGCAGCCTTCGCCACTGGCGGGGATGCCGTTTTAGGCCTCCAGAGACGTGGGGAGGGGAGGAGCACACATGGAAACGTCCCCGGGGGTGGAGGAAAAGGGCCCGGCAGCCTGGTGGGCCACACGTCACGCGCGGCCGCCCCTCCCCTCCCGGCAGCCACCCCAGGTGGGCAGAGCTTGCTCTGGCCACACTCCTGCTCCGGAGCTGTCATGCAAGCAGCCCCATCCTGCAGTTCCAGCCAGGAGGGACTGCGGCAGGAGCACCCCCCCGCCCCCCACCTTTGTTGTGCTCCTGAAACCAGACCGCTGGCACTTGCGGAACGGGGGGAGGCACCAGAAAATTGGGGGGCCCACCAGAATGGGGGGAGCGCCTAGTGTGCAAAAAAACCTGGGGCCGGCCCTGATGACAGTTCTGCCTTCCACAGTCCTCCTATTCAACTGATGGCGTCTTTCTCCTCCTTTCTCACCAGCTTCCTTTTCGACTTCTACCACTACTTCTACATGCTGACGAACATCCTCTTCTACGTCAGTTCCGCCATCAACCCGGTCTTGTACAACCTGGTGTCGGCCAACTTCCGCCAGATCTTCCTCTCGACACTCATGTTTGTGTGCCTGCCCTGGAGAAAGAAGACGAAGAGGACCAAGTTCAACAGGAAGTCCAACAGCATCTCCAGCAACCATACTTTCTCTAGCCAAGTCACCAGGGAAACCACATACTGAGACCTGGGCATTGCCAAAGGAAGGGAAGAACGAGTGTCCCAATTCAGGACTGAATTGGACCTTGCAAAGAGGGCTGTACCGCTTTTCGACATGGCTTCCGAGTTCACTATAGCATGAATGTGTTTTTGCTGGTCGCCATACCTTGGAACGAGTCGATGTTCGTTCTACCAGTTAAATTCGGGGTTCTTTTCATGCATCGGCTTTTGCCTCTCGTGAGTAGCGTCTCCATGTTTTGTAACTTTGATCTGGCGTAAAAGTCACCTGTGACATCATCGAGGAAGCCATGGCGGTCATTGAGTCAACGCTGGCCAAGCTTGAATGTCTCTTCATTCATCGATGTCTCCATTTTGAAAGGCTACGGGAACATTAAAAAGACGGAGACCGCCTCTTCTGGCGGCTCTGAGACTGTAAAATGACATGGAGGCCGGTTAGTTGTCAAGGTTGTTTGTTTAGTGGGAAGGAACAGTTGTTTTGAGGGAGAGGGAAACCGACCCGATTGGTCTTTGTAGAAAGAAGAATGTAAACCGTTCAATTCAGAAGGGCATGCGATACTCAGGGAATGAGACTGTTTAAGGAATTAGATCTGAACTCCGTTGAGTACAGAGCATTTGGGAAAGCCAATCTGGGCTCCCATCGTTGCATAAGGTAGAATGCCTTGGTTGGTCCGTGGTGCCATCTTGGGTTTAGCTTTGAAGAGCAACATTTTCCGTGTGTGCTTTTTTGACCCAGGAAACCATCTTCCTTTGTTTCGAATGTGCCTGGTATAGGGGGGGGGCTTGATAAATGCCTCCAGTTAGTGCTACAAGATTTAAGTATCTTTACATGGATGCTATTGGTAGAGAGGGGGTGCCGGCTAAGCCCACACAATGGCAGAGGATACCCGCATCTTTTGCTTACTGCTGAAATAGACTTGGGACTTGGGTGCATGGCCAACGTCTTGCACTGACTTGCAGTTGTGTAACCTTTGTGTTGGTGCCAACAACATAAGTTTCAAGAGTTGGGCTGAATGTAGGGGCGGGGAAGGCTCTGCTTAGAGAGCTTGGCAGTGGGAGGACAAGAAGGGATGAGGCAAGGAGTTAGGCAATGGCAGAGGTCATTTCGGGGGGATCGCAGGGGGATTGCAGTTCCCCCGGGTGAGGGGCGGGGGGCGGGGCACACGATAAAGCCTCACCCCCTGCTTCCGGCCACCCCACTTCCAGCCTTCATTCAGCCAGGAGGAGGCAGGAGAAGAGGGAGGGTAAATTGCTTCCTCCCCGCCTCTCCCCACCCCTGCCTGCCTGGGGCCAGGGAGGGCCTTGGTGGGGCTTCCTCGCACTCCCGCCGGCCTTGCAGGTCCACCGCCGGGCCCCTGATGTCAAGGGGTGTGGCATATGCTAATGAGTTATGCTAATGAGTTCCCCTAGCTCTTTTTCTACAAAATGACCCCTGGGCAATGGTATACGAAATTGCCTATGGGGGCAGTTGTCCGTAGCCAAGCAGGGTTGTAGCTGTGGCTCAGTGGAAGAGTCTCTGCCTTGCATGCAGACTATCCCAGGTTCAATCCCTGGCATCTCCAGTTAAAAGGACCTGATAACAGGGGACATGAAAGACCACTACAAGAGACCTTGGAGAGCAGGAGGTCCTCGCCTTGATGGACCAGTGGTCTTTTAGTGGGCAGCGCTAAGCTCGTGCAGTTTAATGAGGCTTCCTCCAACTTAAGCATCCCTTCTGTTGGAGGAAGAGCCTCTTTAGTTGGAGATGGGCTCCTTAGGCGTGAGGAAGGCTTCTTGAACTTTACTAAATGGAGTAGTAAGGATCCAGGCAAGTATAAGCCCTGGGTGCATGTGCAGATTAAATGAGTGGGAGAGAGAAAACAGATCTAGAGCAGGAGTCCCCCGAGGTGGTATCTGTGGGCTCCGTGGTGCCCACCAACACCTTTCCTGGTGCCTGCCAAGTGTTTTTAGAAAGTGGGCGGGGCCAGGTGGAGCAAGGCTTCGGATTGGCCACCGGAGATCTGAGTGGTGGTGCAGATTTTTAACAGCATGGCTTTGGCGGCAGCGGCCGCCACAGCACAAGGACCTTCGCCACGTGACTGGAGGTGAGCTGCGGCAGCCATTTTGTGGCTGGCTCCACCCCCCACAGTGGCCATCTTGTGGCAGCCATTTTGTGGCTCTGCCAACCACACTCTGGTCTTCAAAACGGACTGCAGGCTTAGAAAGTTTGGGGACCCCTGATCGGGAATATTTCAGGAAACGCGTGAAGAAATGAGTATGGAGAGCTTTCGAGGAGAGAAGGAGCAGTGTGTGAGAAGTAGGTAGGAATGGAGCTGTTTCAGGACCACAGAACTTAACGAATCTCTTTTTAGCATTGTTCATTCGTGCAGTAAAGCAGAGTTCCTCTATGGAGCTCATGAATGTGTATGGTCATCTGCTGAATGAATCTGCACAAAAACCCTGAGATATAGGGAAGTGTCCATGGGTCTGCAGCACTTCTAGTTCCAGAATCTTCAGTATCAGGTGCTGAAGGAAGTCCTTCTGTTGCCTGAGACTCTGTAGAGCCACTGCTCAATACTGAAGTAGAAGAGAAGAAGAGAAGAGATTGGATTTACACCCTACCCTTCACTAACCAAAGGAGTCTCAGAGCGGCTTACAATCTCTTTACCCTTCCCCTCCCCACGACTGACACCCTGTGAGGTAGGTGGGCACTCCATGAAATTGCTGAGCGGTCGGGTTAGAACGGATAAAAGGAAGTACTTCTTCACCCAAAGACTGATTAACACATGGAATTCACTGCCACAGGAAGTGGTGGCGGCTACAAGCATGGACGGCTTCAAAAGGGAATTAGATAAGCATATGGAGCAGAGGTCCATCAGTGGCTATTAGCCACAAGGTATAGATAGGGGCTCTGGGGCAAGTGATGCTCTGTCATCTTGGTGCTTGGGGGGGGTCAACAGTGGGAGGGCTTCTAATGTCCTGGCCCCACTGATGGACCTCCTGATGGCACCTGGTATTTCTGGCCACTGTGTGACAGAGTGTTGGACTAGATGGGCCTTTGGCCTGATCCAACATTGGCGTCTCTTATCTTCTTATGACCACTGTGCTGACCCAGCAGGGCTCTTCTGATGTTCTTAAGAAGGTCTTGTCCTCTCTGCCCTGTTGTTGGCTGTCCAGAGGAAATGATTGGCCACTGTGTGAGACAGGATGCTGGACTAGACGGACCACTGGTCTGATTCAGCAGGGCTCTTCTGATGTTCTCTTACGTGAAGGAGCATTTAAACATTAGTCTCCCTCACCTGATTGGCCACTCAATTTCAAATCTGCATTCTGCTATAGAGACTCACTGGGTCACCTTTGTCCAGTCCCCCCCCCTCTCTCTCTGCCTAACTTACCTCACAGGGTTCTTGTTGTGAAGATAAGTGGAGAAGGGGATAACAATGTTGTAAGCCACTCTGGACCCCCACCTGGGAGACAGCTTGCTTGCCACTGAAGTTTTTCTCCTGTGATATGCAGCCATAGGGAAGTGTTGGATGTGTTGTTTTAGAACAGGGAGATCATGAGTCCCTGCATGAACGATGTAGCACCGCAGGGTGACCCAAACCCCCCTACGACATCCTGTGGTTCCAAGGCATGGGGTCCCTGAGTAGACAGGGTGATGGAGTTGGGGAAATTCAGCCTCTTTAGCTCCAACAGAGGCCATCCCCTTAAACGGGAAAGGGACTCATTGTAAGTAGAAAGTTTGAAAATAACACGAATAGAGAGATGTCATCTAAGGATGGCTCTGACAAGTGATTTAGGTTGCTTGTTGGCAAACTAGGTGAACAGTAAAATGAACTGTCAAGGACAACTCATCTAGGCTTTTTTCCCCCCAGTGCTACGGGAAGGTTGTCTGAGCAGGAGCGAGACATTGGTTTAATAGCAGGGAAGTCTGCGTTACATGAAATTGAGTTAGGCGGACCACGCACCGTCTAATTAGATGTTTCTAATTTTCACTTCGGACTGGAGAAGAAGACAAGAAATTCAGGGAAGCGAAGCGAGAGCAGATGGATCGCATTTGTTTCAACAGTCCGCCATATGACTTCTCGAAAATACATTTCCGAGGATCCTTTTCAGTGCTCGGTTTCCCTGACAGTGTCGTCCATTCGACAGCCCAAGAAGTCAGGCTCCAGAATGCATTGCCTCCCCCATTAAATTCCCTGCCAGCCCGGATTCTCTCTCTAAAGGTCTGTCCGGCATGCATCCATGCAGATAAGGCAGTGCCCTTCGTCTTGTCTCTGGTTCCGCCGCATGCCAGGTTTTGCTTCAGTGACTCTGTTCTTAAAGAAACAAGTACAACAGAAGGGCAGATGGAAGGCCTAACGGGGACACGACATGCAAACGGGGAAATAAACAGATGCTTTCATTGGCTGTGTCAAATGGCTTTTCAGAACACAGGACAAATGCCTTGCTCGCTACTGCCGGATACTGCCGTTGGCTTCAGTCAAACGTCCCTTATGTAGGGCAACAGTGGGGTTTTCCCCCCCATAAGCAGACTTTCATGCAAATTGCATGACACGGCAAAAAGCTTCTCATGCGCAATAATTTCGAGTCGTGTTCCAATCTCTTGTCGCGTGTGGTACGCCGTACAGTAATTCTGTTGCAAACTGAAACGACAAAAGAGCCGACCGAGAATCGCTAAGGAATATTCCCCACTGCTGAACACGAAACGAACCGTTTCGGCCATTTGTTTCTGGGTTCTGTTTGGGGCTACAGTTGCCAGAACAAAATGTGATAATAAAGGGCAGCTATTCTGTTCCATGGGAAGGAAGGTGGTATGGTACAGCCCGATCTCATCAGATCTCAGATGCTAAGCAAGGTTGGTACTTGGAAGGGAGGCCACCAAGGAAGTCTCTGCAGAGGAAGGCAGTGGCCAACCACCTCTGCTTCTCACTTGCCTGGAATTAGCCTTGCTGGGGTTGCCATGTCAGAAGCAGTGTTCCCTCTAAGCTGAGTTAGTGTGAGCTAGCTCACAGTGTTTTAGCCTCC